TCGGTTTGTTTGGGTGCGAGCGATTGCAGAAGTGTCATTTTGTCGGGGCGTGAGCAGTTGCATGTCCACAACTAGACATGCAACTGCAAATGTTGCATTCACAACTACACGCCCTCAACGTGACCGCGACCGTGACAACAAAACACGAGATTCTAGTACTTTCTCATTATGTTTTCTTTTGACCCAGTATGCTTCCTTTTTGTGATTTTTTCTTCCATTCTTTTGTATTCTTCTTCTATTTTTTGTCCAAATGTGTGTGTGTAAATATAGTCTACTTTTTCTTTCGGGTGATTCAGAGAAAAAAACACAAGACAAAGTAAAGCACACTAGCTAGGAGAAATTCTTTTTTTTAAATGTTCAAATACAAAGTAAAAAAAACTCAAAAGCTCTGTCCAACAGACAAAGGCTGCATCAATAGACAAACAAAAACAACACACCTATAAAAAATATGCACGAGAAACGAAAATAAGAAGAAAAAAATGATGGAGAGGTAAAAGGAACCACACAAATGAGTTGATTTCACTTAGATCTGCACATAACAAAGTCTAGTCAGATAAGCATTTGACGGACCCATATAATTTTTGTGCAACATATAGTTCTCTTTTATTTTTTGCGGGGTCACATGTACTATCTCTCAAAGTACTCTCCTTTGGTCCCTCCTTTGGTGTGAGGCTACCCCGACTCCGCATCCCTCTCTCGAGGCGACACGTGGGGCACCCTAAATCCCTGCCGTCGGCCTCCTTCGTCCCTTCCCCCCTCCCCCCTGGCGCGGCTGCCCTCCTCTCTGGCCATGGTGCGGTGCTTTCGACGGGTGCTCTTGGCAGTGAGGTGCTGCGATGGTCCAGTGGAGGTTCGTCGTGATGGCGACAGCGGTGGTGTGTGCCGCGTTCGGTGATGGTGTCTGTGGTCGCGGCGGACTGTTGCTTGGTCCCGTCCTGGTCCGACACGATCTGGATCTGCACCTGGCCGATCAGGCCTTGGTTGCTGCAGCCAATAGGCCGGGTGGCGTCGCGCCTCCACGGGCGTTGGGCACCGTGGTGGTACAGGCAACTTGTGGTGGTTTGGCGTGGTGCGGGACGGTACACGGCAGGACGCGTGGTGGAGCGGGTGTCTGGCAAGGGAAAGCGGCGGTGGGGCGGCACGGACTGGCGTGCTCTGGAGGCGACGGCGCGAGTTGCAGGTCAGGTGGGCCGCAACACTATGCTGGCTCGACTAGGATAGAGTTCCTGGCGAGCAACGAGTGGTCGGTTACTCCGTGTCTATGCAGCGAGCAGCAGTCCCGGTGGTGACCACATGAGAGTTATCCGTGGCTTGGTGCTGGGTCGTCGCAAGGTTGTCCCTTGGTCTAGGTGACAGTCGTCACGGGCGGTCCTAGCCCTTGCTGGAGTGGTTGGTGGATGTTATTCCTTTGTCGGGTTGTTGCGGTTGGTTGGGCCAAGTTCCTCTCTGCCATGTAGTTTGCCGACGGCCCTCGGCCGGCGGCTACGATGGCGTGGTGCTGAAGTGGCGGTGGTACAAAGGAACGTGGACGGTGCTAGCCAATAACCGCGAGGTGTGGAGGTGTGCGGAACTCGGATGAAAATCTTGCACGGCTTTTGCCTAGCCGGCGGCGATGGCGCCCGTGGGTGTCATACCCCTCCTTGGAGGCGTCGCCGAGGGAAATTCAACATTTTCATCCCTCGCTTGGAGTTGGAGGTTGTCTCCGGGAGAAAGCCTCGATTTGGTGTTGAATCGGCACAATGGCGGTGTCCTCGACGTCGCTCTGCTATCGGGAGCATTCTGTTTGGAGCCACGGCTTGGTTCCTCGTTACTCTCCTCCGGTGTTCACCGCGGTCCTATATTGATCCTCGACGGCGTAATGTACGCCCGTCGCCAGTGTGTCCATGACGGTGTATTCCTCGGAGTTGATCAAGTCCTGTCATCCACTCGCCACCTCCTCTCAAGCATTCAGGGTGGATGGTGCATCGACGAGCGAAGTTTTGTGGAAGCTGGTGGTCTTCAGAGGTGTCTGACGTTGGTTGATACGCAGTGTTGTGCTCAGTTAGAACAAGCTCTTCTGCTGTGTAGTTTTTGTTTGGTCGTTAGTGGTTGTCTTCGGAATTGCTTGGGTGTGGTGTTCGTGCTACGTTCGTTGTTCACAACGAGGGATAGTGTTCTTTGTATTTACTAGTAAATGTGTACGTGCAATGCACGTTGATATTAGGTAATATATTAATTACACTTAAATATTAGGTAGGATATTATTTGAGTATTAACTATGTGATTAGCATTGACATTAATATTTGGTATGATTTTAACTGCACGCTAAACGTGTTGAGCGCTCATCATTGAAGTAGTTTGAGTCGCTGGATTGACCGGATTTAATGATCGGGATTTGTTGGATCTACTTCTTTGAATTTTTTTATATTGATATAGATAATTTTGCGTTCTACGAAGCTATGATACGTCTAGACGTACTCTGAAAAAAAAGTACTGTCTGATTTGCCCATGCAATCTTGTCCCCTTTTGCATGTTGCGTGTCAACCGTTGGTGTATGTAATTCCACGATGCACGTGAACAAAGAGCTTGAGTGACTGTGCACCAAAGGCCCTGTTTGGATACTCTAACTCAGTTAAAGGTTAGCATTAGATTTTAACCCTGAACTAATTCTAATCAAAGAGGTGTTTGGATGGAAGGGTTAGATGAAGCGTGAATACGGCGAGGCGTCTTCACAGGCGGTGCGAGAGGGAGGAAGGGAGAAGAGGAGAAGCTTCGAGGAAGTAGAGAGGGATCTGCTGCGGGGAGAGCGAGAGAAAAAAATATTTTTTAATGACCCCAAAAAGAACTAACCCAAATAAACACCTCTTGTATGGGTTAGTTTTTTTAGATGGGTTAGATGCATCTAACCCAAACTAATCCTTCTGTTTGGATCTTTTTGGGTTAGATGAGTTCAAACTAACCCAAACTAACTCTAACCCATTGATCCAGGGCCAAAGTATTTTATATCTCGAGCTTATTGCTGGGGCCTCCATCGCCGCTCAAACAGTCAAGCATTCATGTGCTAGCAGCGTGCATCGATGCGCTTCAGTTCAGTGCTACCGCTACCCAAATTGACTCCATTATTTTACAGGTACCGGAGTAGTTGGGATTTGCATTTTTGCTCAAATCCTTGGGTGCAAGATTAGTGAGTTTCCTATTAAATATTTGGGAGCCCCCTCCATCACAGAAAGCTTAAAAAGTGTGAGCTCTAACCTACTATTGATAAAATTATCAAAAGAGGAGCGGGGTGGAGAGGGAGATTACTGTCTTCTGGCAAGAGACTCACATTAGTGAAGACCCGCCTTTCTACTATTCCTAGTTATCTTATGGGGATTATTAAATTTCCAAAGTGGGCTATAAAGCTAATTAACTCCCAACTAGCTCACTGCTTTTGGGATGACTATGAGGGTCATCATAAATATCACTTGGCTGCCTGGGGCAATGTGACCCTACAAAAGCAGCATGGAGGTCTAGGCATCCCTAACATTGCGGACATGAATTTATGCCTCTTAGCTTCCTGGATTAAGAGATATTTCCAGGATGAGGGCAAGATTTGGAAGCAAGTAATTGATGCCAAATATAGAACTCGCATCCCTAACATTTTTACCTGTTCTAGTAATGGTGCTTCCGCCTTCTGGAAAGGGATCCTGTGGGCTGTTAAAGCCACTAAAATGGGATATTCTTGGATAGTGGGTAATGGCAATAGCATTAGATTCTGGGAAGATCAATGGATTGGGCATACCACCCTTGCTACCCAGTATTGGGAGTTATATAGTATTACCAATGATCATGATGCTTCCATTAGTGAAGTATGGGATGGCACTAACCTGAAAATTACTTTTAGGAGGTGTTTTGACCAAAAAATGCTAGCCATTTGGCATGATCTATTTAGTCGCATTCGTGATGTTGTTCTGGAGGATAAGGAGGATACCATCCTCTGGAACTATGAAGCTAAAAGAGTTTATACTGTTAAATCTTTATACAACATTATTAATTTTAGGGGGATTCAGCCGGGTAACTTAACAGTTATTTGGAAAATAAATGTCCCCCTGAGGATTCGGATTTTTCTTTGGTTTATGGCCAAAAACAAACTGTTAACAAGAGATAATCTGCAAAAAAGACAGCAGGTAGAGGATGTTATCTGTCTTTTCTGTGGTGAATCTGAATCTGTAGATCATTTATTTTTTAACTGTGTCGTTGCGATAGAACTGTGGAGAGTGATCTCTGATATATCCAAGAAGCGAGCTGGAATGTCCGTTCAAGACATAATGGCCTGGTGGTTTAATAACAAAAATCACCCAGCGGACTGCATGTTACATTCTGCTGTCCTATGGTCGCTATGGAAATATCGTAATGACATTTGTTTCAATCATGTACCCTGGCTTGGGATGCAGGTTCTGTGAAGGAAAACTGCTTGTACTCTCGGCAGTTGGATGGTTCGATGCTCTGGCCCTGTCAAAGAAAGGGTGATGTACTTGGTGAGAAATCTGAAACAGAAAGCGCGAGCCCCTCCACTTCTAATGTGGCCAGACCCTGGTTAGGCCTGAGGCAATGCTCGGAGGTGCTACTTAAATCGTGAAGATCTCGAGATCCAGTGACTATGTTCTTTGCTGGTTGCCGGGGGTTGGTTGTTAGTTCCTTCTGAGACTAGCGTTTATCTCTTTTAGCTCTAGTTGCTTTAGTGGCTTGAGTTTCACAAATTCTGCCCTTTTTGAGGCTCTATTATTTGAATTTGCTGGGGCAGCGTGTGTGCTGTTTATCCCCTCGCGTGCTTGTAACGAATATATTGGTGGTTCTGGGTTTCATTTGGTAATACAAATGGAGCCGGGCCGAAAAGCCCTTTTCCTCTAAAAAAAATAGTTGGGATTCGCGTCTCCTTTGGCATCGACGTCGCAAACCACGAGCTTCAGTTCCGTGCTAATGCTACAAAAGCTGACGCCACCATTCCAATTTCAGGAGCACTCCAAAGCAGCATCAAGAAAATGGCCTCGACAGAGCGAGAGCACGGCGAGAAGCTGCGGATCCTGATCGTGCCCTTCTTCGCCACCAGCCACATCGCCCCCCACACCGACCTCGCCGTCCGCCTGGCCGCGGCCAGGCCGGGCACCGTTGAGCCTAGGGTGGCGGTCACCCCGGCCAACGTCCCGGTCGTTCGGTCGGCTCTCGACCGGCACGGCCACTCCATGGCGAGTCGAGCCGTCCGGATAGCCACCTACCCTTTCCCGGAGGTGGGCGGCCTCAAGCCGGGCGTCGAGAACCTCTCCACCGCCGGGGCCGACGCGTGGCGCATCGAGGCCGCGGCCATCGACGAGGCGCTGACGCGGCCCGCGCAGGAGGCACTCGTCAGGGAGCTCTCCCCTGACGCCGTCTTCACCGACGTCCACTTCTTCTGGAACTCCATCATCGCCGGCGAGCTCGGCCTGCCGTGCATTACGTTCAGTGTCATCGGACCCTTCTCGAACATTGTGATGCACCACCTCGGCGGTACAGTTACAGTCGACGGCGACTCTGGTTGCCAGGAGGTGGCTGTGCCAAGTTTTCTAGGCCCAGAAATACGGATCCCGAGGGCCGAACTGCCGGAGTTCTTGAGGTACCAGGAGAAAGACGACGGATTCAGCAGCCCGATCATGGCGGGGCAAGCCAGGTGCTTCGGAGTAGTCGTCAACACGTTCATGGACCTGGAGAGCGAGTACTGCGAGCTGTACGCGCGCCTCGGCCACGTCAAGCGCGCCTACTTCGTCAGGCCAGTGTCGCTGCCGTTGCCACCGGCCGGGGCAAGCGCCGGCGAGTCACCATGCATCCGTTGGCTAGGCTCGATGCCAAGATGCTCGGTGGTGTACGTATGCTTCGGCACCTACGCCTCCATCTCTGGAGACCAGCTCTGGGAGCTGGCTCTTGGACTGGAAGCCTCCGGCAAGCCGTTCCTGTGGGTGCTGAGGGCCGAGGGGTGGGCACCGCCGGCAGGGTGGGAGGAGCGTGTCGGGAAGAGGGGGGTGCTCGTCAGAGGGTGGGCCCCGCAGACTGCAATCCTGGCTCATCCGGCTGTGGGGGCATTCCTGACGCACTGTGGGTCGAGCTCGCTGCTTGAGGCGGCGGCGGCCGGCGTGCCGATGCTGACGTGGCCGCTGGTGTTCGACCAGTTCATCGAGGAGAGGCTGGTCACGGACGTTCTGAAGATCGGCGAGAAGGTGTGGAGCGGGGCGCGGAGCACGAAGGAGGAAGAGAAGGAGACCGTGCCGGCGGAGGCGGTGGCGCAGGCTGTGGCGAGATTCTTGGAGCCCGGTGGGACGGGGGAGGCGGCGAGGGGCCGAGCGCTGGAGCTCGCCGTGAAGGCTCGCGCGGCCGTGTTGGACGGCGGGTCGTCGTCCTGTGATCTGCGCAGGCCTATCGACGATCTGATGGGGACAAGGGAGGCCGTCGCCGGCGGCGACACTAGTACGTCGCGCTCTGCTGAGATCTAGCGTCATCGTGGCATTTCCCTGTGACCCTGTGCTTCAATCCGTTTCTAAATCCTGTAACACCGACCGCTTAATATGTTCTGTATTTCCATTTCCCTGCTACTAGTGTCTGTCACCTGCTCTTAGGCCAACTCCAGCGCACGAACCTTAAATGGACGTCGGTTTTACATGAATTTTGTCAGTTTGGTAGGGCAATGGGGTCGTGTCCGGAAAGTTTTTAGGATGCGGTGGCCGTGCGCCCAACGCGCGGACGCATCCCGGCCGCATCTTGTTCGCCTACACTTTTCTTTGCAAGTCCATAATTTTTTTCATCATTAATTTTTGGTACATGAGAATAGATCATCAAATTTTGACTAGAAAAGCAAGACAAAAAAACAAGAACCACATGATGAGGCTCGATGTTGCGTGCTTCTTTCTTCTTCGAGTCTAAGAACATCTCCAACAGGCATCCAAAAAGAGCTCCATGCATTATAAATTAATTTTTTTGGGCGCCCAACAGCTCCAACAGATACTGTAGCGCTAAAAAGTTTTAGGCGCGCACTGAAAAACGCTATCGCGCACAACATATTTTGGGCTCCGAATTACGCGCGCTTCACAATTTGCACCGTCTGCTTTTTGGGCGCGCGTCTTTGGACGTCTGCTAAATCAATGTTGATCCCGGCGCACTAAAAGTGCTAAAGTGACCTGCTATAATTTTTATTGGGTGCGAGATTTTTGTGCGGCCGTTGGAGATGCTCTGAAGAAGTAGACGTTGGTTCCTCGCATCTAGTCTCATGTCTAGCCTCTATTCTAGCAACAAATGCAATAGTCTCATCTCTGGCCTCTATGCTAGCTAAAAGTGCACGAACATCTACTAAATTGCGCTCTATCAATATATCAATGTAATCTTCTTCCTAAAACCAAAACTTGCATCCATTCTACATAATAAATTTTTAAGTTAGCACGACTAGTCAAATTCGATAGCACAATCGAGCTAAAAAGTAGCACATACCCCATCGTTTATGCACTTGATGAACACCCATCCGGGATGTTCCGGCGTTGTAGGCACGCGGCGCATGATCTTCTTTATGCAGCTGTCACACTTAATGAGTGGCAACGGTGCGCCGACGAGCTTTTGGGTTAGCACCAAGCCCGGCCGACCACCATTCATGTATCTACTGGCGGACCACCGACGGTGTAAATCCAAGCGGCTAGAGGAGGAGCCACTACCTGCATGCGGCCTTGCAGCCTTGCCGGGGCCTTCCGGCCCTGTGTCCGGCCAGTCCATGGCGCGGCGCGGCCTCCCACGGCCGGGCGAGCTCAAGACCGACTGGATCCGCTCCAAATCCGGCCGCGGGGTGCGCAAATCAGGTGGCCGGGGTTGGGTAGCTCGGGGGCGTCGAGGGGAAGGGGATGGGTCAGCGCGCATCCGAGCTGCACAGCTTCAATAACAGCGGCAGCGGCGAGGGGCGGGAGTGGAGGGGGTGCGGTCTGAGGGAGGGAGGGGAACGGATAGAAAAAGTTTTTCCTGTGCCACCGACAAGCGGGTCAGGGGAGGACATGCGCACATGGCCCGCCCGTCCGTGCGCTGTCCGTTTGACCCTAAAAACGGCCCAAACTTGAACCGGGCAGGGGTTGAAAGCGGACAGAAAACGGACAAAAGTCCGTTTGCGCCCGCGCGCTGGGTCGTTTGATTTGTCCATTTTACTTCAAACGGATGCACCCAAACAAGATGGGGTCACGCGCTGGAGTTGGCCTTAATGCATTTCATGTCGTCGCATTTACATTTTTCTCAGCTCATTATCTCGTTTTATGCATGGGGCTCTGTCTGCACCTATGCAGACTTGGTCTTGGAAGTTGGAACATGGCCATCTCCACTACGATTCGAAATGCAAAAGGAGAATTTGTATATCTGTATGAAACAAAGCTGCAGGCTATTATACAGGTCAGAAGCTCATCAGAATCCTAATAATCCCGTTAGCAGACGAACTACATGATTTTGTACTATGCTTAGGATTGGGTCTTGTTCATCACATCATTCTTCTAATGATGTGATCCCGTTATCAATGACATCCAATGTCCATGGTTAGGAAACCGTAACCATGTATTGATCAACGAGCTAGTCAACTAGAGGCTCACTAGAGACATGTTGTGGTCTATGTATTCACACATATATTACGATTTCCGGATAACACAATTATAGCATGAACAATAGACAATTATCATGAACAAGGAAATATAATAATAACCATTTTATTATTGCCTCTAGGGCATATTTCCAACAGTCTCCCACTTGCACTAGAGTCAATAACCTAGTTACACTGTGATGAATCGAACACCCATAGAGTTCTGGTGTTGATCATGTTTTGCACGTGGAAGAGGTTTAGGCGGATCTGCGACATTCAGGTCCATATGCACTTTACAAATCTCTATGTCTCCATCTTGAACATTTTCACAAATGAAGTTGAAGCGACGCTTGATATGCTCGGTCTTCTTGTCTCCTTGGCAAGGGCAATAGCTCCAGTGTTATCACAGAAGATAGTCATCGGGCCCAACGCATTGGAAATAACTTCTAGGTCGGTAATGAACTCATGCATCCAGATTGCTTCATGTGCTGCCTCCGAGGCTGCCATGTACTCCGCTTCACATGTAGATCCCGCCATGACGCTTTGCTTGCAACTGCACCAGCTGACTGCCCCACCATCCAAAATATACACGTATCCGGTTTGTGACTTGGAGTCATCCAGATCTGTGTCGAAGCTAGCATCGATGTAACCCTTTATGACGAGCTCTTCGTCACCTCCATAAACGAGAAACATATCCTTAGTCCTTTTCAGGTACTTCAGGATATTCTTGACCGCTGTCCAGTGTTCCATGCCGGGATTACTTTGGTACCTTCCTACCAAACTTACGGCAAGGTTTACAACAGGTCTGGTACACAGCATGGCATACATAATAGACCCTATGGCCGAGGCATAGGGGATGACACTCATCTTTTCTCTATCTTCTGTCGTGGTCGGGCATTGAGACGTGCCCCTTCTTGGACTGATCCATATTGAACTTCTTCAATATCTTGTCAAGGTACGTGCTTTGTGAAAGACCAATGAAGCGTCTCGATCTATCTCTATAGATCTTGATGCCTAATATATAAGCAGCTTCTCCAAGGTCCTTCATTGAAAAACACTTATTCAAGTAGGCCTTTATGCTTTCCAAGAATTCTATATCATTCCCCATCAATAGTATGTCATCCACATATAATATGAAAAACGCTATAGAGCTCCCACTCACTTTCTTGTAAACACAGACTTCTCCATAAGTCTGCGTAAACCCAAATGCTTTGATCATCTCATCAAAGCGAATGTTCCAACTCCGAGATGCTTGCACCAGCCCATAGATTGAGCATTGGAGCTTGCACACCTTGTCATCATTCTTAGGATCGACAAAACCTTTTGGCTGCATCATATACAATTCTTCCTTAATGAAACCATTAAGGAATGCCGTTTTGATGTCCATTTGCCATATCTCATAATCATAGAACGCGGCAATTGCTAACATGATTCGGACGGACTTCAGCTTCGCTACGGGTGAGAAAGTCTCATCGTAGTCAACCCCTTGAACTTGTCGATAACCCTTAGCGACAAGCCGAGCCTTATAGATGGTCACATTACCATCCGTGTCTGTTTTCTTCTTAAAGATCCATTTATTTTCTATGGCTCGCCGATCATCGGGCAAGTCAGTCAAAGTTCATACTTCGTTTTCATACATGGATCCTATCTCGGATTTCATGGCTTCAAGCCATTTGTCGGAATCCGGGCCCGCCATCGCTTCTTCATAGTTCGAAGGTTCACCATTGTCTAACAACATGATTTCTAGGACAGGGTTGCCGTACCACTCTGGTGCGGAACGTGTCCTTGTGGACCTACGAAGTTCAGTAGCAACTTGATCTGAAGTTTCGTGATCATCATCATTAACTTCCTCTCTAGTCGGTGCAGGCACCACAAAAACATTTTCTTGAGCTGCGCTACTCTCCGGTTCAAGAGGCAATACTTCATCAAGTTCTACTTTCCTCCCACTTACTTCTTTCGAGAGAAACTCTTTCTCTAGAAAGGATCCATTCTTGGCAACAAAGATCTTGCCTTCGGATCTGAGGTAGAAGGTATACCCAATAGTTTCCTTAGGGTATCCTATGAAGACGCATTTTTCCGATTTGGGTTCGAGCTTTTCAGGTTGAAGTTTCTTGACATAAGCATCGCATACCCAAACTTTCAAAAACGACAACTTAGGTTTCTTCCCAAACCATAATTCATACGGTGTCATCTCAATGGATTTCGACGGAGCCCTATTTAAAGTGAATGCGGCAGTCTCTAAAGCATAACCCCAAAATGATAGCGGTAGATCGGTAAGACACATCATGTGTGACGCCCCTCGTCCGATGCGCCAGGTGTCTTCCAGTTATTCGCCGACGTTGCCATGTCATTTTCCTGCGTGTTGCATTTCATCATGTCAGCATGTGCATTGCATCATCATGTTTTCAAAACTTGCATCTGTCCCGGTCTCCCTGTTCTTTCTGTTGCCCGTTCTGAGCCCAGTCACACTTGCACGCGCCTGCGGCATGTCCGAAATAGTATTTTATAAGTGGCCGGAAAATGTTCTCGGAATGGGTTGAAAGTTGGCGTGTGGTCTTATTAAAGTGTAGATAGACCGTCTGTCAAGTTTCATCGCATTCGGAGTTCGTTTGATAGCTCAACCGTTAAACTATAGCGGCATTATAGCCGGGCACACGTCGGACGTTTTCGGTCTCCGGAAACAGTCGCCGGGCCTCTCTTCTCTTCTCTCAGCCTGAGGCCTTCTGCACAGTCCACTACCTACCGCCAGGCCTAGCCTAAGCTCTCTCGTCAGCCTGTCGCCCTCCTCGCGCGCGCGTCTGGGAGCTGTCCCGGACCCGAACCGGGCAGTCGTCACCGTTGGGTCTGGAACATCCCCAAACATCTACAAAACATCACCGTTTTCTTATTTGGCCTCCA